AAAAAAAAAAAAAAAAAAAAAAAAAAAAAACACCAATGATTAAGTATCTAGGTGTTATCCTAGAAGGACAGTGACCCCAAGGACAGTGGCAATGTGGCATTCATTCAGAATTAGGTAAAATTAGGTAGCTAGGGTGGAGCAGGAAAGTCACAGCTCATAAGCAAAAGTTAGATGATGCGTGGTATTTAAACTAAAAAAGATAAAATTCTGAAGAACCTGAAAACTTCTTTCAAACATTTAAAGAGTTTTCATGAAGGAGAGCATGATTTATTCTGTGGGATAACATAGCCAGGACCTAGGAGAAGTTTCTAAGTGGCAGACTAGCTCAACCTAAAGAATTAACAGTTGCAATGTTTCTAAACTAGAGGTCCCATCTCATGAAGTAGTATGTTTCCCATCAATGAAGATATATGAGCAATGGTTGGACGGATACTATAAAAAGGCTCCTAGTGTCTGCTTGGAGGTCAGACTAGATGCCTCCTAGGTCCCATCGCCCAAGGGACTAAATGATAAACACTGAGTTTTAATCTCTTATCCAACCTACCCAGATATATTAAACTGAGTCATTACCTGTTTCCTGGTAAATTTCATTAGCTTTGCTCTTAGAAAATGAGAGCTTTCAACATAACCATGTTTTGGTGGTTCAAGAAGAACAAATTCACAGTCAAGTCCTTCAAAATACTTGCTTGGTATTTTGAGGTAATCTTCCAGAAGTGCTTTGGAGCCACCTTTTTGAACTGTAATATTCTGCACCTCCAGGGGAATCAACTTAGGGACAATATCCAACATGATTTCCACTTCACTCATCATTTGAGAACCATTTATCACATCCAGAAAGAAATGATCCTGTTTTGGGGCAGGAGCTGTCTGTACATAAAGGATATTGCCACTATCAACATCCTGTTGTGTGAAGCTCAAAGGGAACTTTCCATCAGGATTCAAACTGCCTTCTTCTGGCACAGACTTTTGCAGGTATCCGTGCATTGGTGGAGTTCTGACTATGAACACTGCCTCAGAAGGAATATTATATTTATTTCCAGCCTTGCGTTCACATGCACCACACACAAGCACAAAAAGAAAAACATATTAATAAATGTAAGAGTCAAAACTACTGCTAAAACAAGATGTTTTCTACTAATGTTCACAAATGGCTTAAATTACAAGCAGACTTCATGCACAGATTGAGCCTAGGTCTGATCTGCTGGCCATGGCAATAATTTGAACATTAGCCTCCGTTAAAAAGAAAAATGATGGTCAAAAACACTTTGTGTGGCTACAAATGTATCAACAAGACATCAGCAGCAACAACAGCAAAATGCCAGAACTCAGAAATTGGGTGAAAGAAATAAATACTAATTAGGAGAAGTTAAAAGTTGTAAAAGAAACAGCAGTTGAATCACTAAAACTTCAGGGACTTAGAGCAAATATTTTTTTTCCCCACTTATTTCAACTAGCTCAGCATTTTCTATACATTTTAAAATCGACCGATTCAGCAGAATCCATCACAAAACTCACTGTGACTGATTTACAGTCACTGAAGTACACATGCCCCCCTGTGGTGAAATGTACACATTAACTCTCCATTCGCTCAAAACTAGTAAACTCACTCTGATTTGAATTCATTTTTATTTGAAATTATTGGGTGCATTTAGTAAATGTGTTTGCAGTCCTGAAGATGGGTTTAGAGCAGCCTATGTTTTTGGCCACCGGTCATCAATCACAGCTTACTCTGAACAGGGTGGGTACAGGATGATCCTAAATAGTGCAGCCCTAGGAACTCGCTGATTAGCAGGGCTGTGCTTACTGGAAGTTTGCAAGCAGAAGCCTGAGGAAACCAGGTGCTCTGACCTTGTTCCTGGTATCCCACTGGTCAAGGTCAGTTTTATCTATCAAATTTCAGGAAACTAAACAAGGGCACATTCAGAACTAAGGAAATAAACTGTGTTATACAGTATTTTCTGCTGTCTTAGAAATCTTTTTAGTGTTTACTAAATCATTGCTCCTCATCTTGATATAACTCAGAAAAAATGAAATATAGTCAGTGTTATTATTGTCAACAATGAATAAAAGTAAAGATCTCTTACTTTTATATAGTATATATTTTCTTTACTCATTCCCAGTTCATTGTACTATACTAAAAACATTCAAATAAGTGCGTGTGTGAATGCAGCTTTGCAATAAGGCTGAGCACTGCTCATCTGCCATTTCCAACTATAGGAAAATCCGCAGTATCACACCCATAAAGCTTTCTCACTTTTCTTCTTTATGACATCCACATACTTTTCTAAAGGTCACTCCTAATACCAGGTGAAAATTAACACACAAAAAAAATCTTTCAGAAGCAAGCAAATGCACTATAATCCCCGACAATTCTAAGAAAGTAAGATTGCTTGGTGCTTAGGATGACACTTACCTGGAGCCTTCTTCTGCTCAGTTTTACTGGTTTTCCTTCTTCAACTATCAGGGTCTTTCTGTGCCAAACTTGACTGTGATGGTGGTGATCTTTCAACTCTACTTGGACACAGACCCCTACTTCAATGCATGTATCTTTAACTTTCACTGTCAAGTTGAATACGTCAAAGTTGCCACTGCCATCGTGCCTATAAGTCACATGTCCTCGTTTCAGGTCATGTTGGGAAAATGATGAGAACACAGAATTGTTAACCAGGACTCTGCCATGCTTTGGGGGCCACACAATGTGGAATTCAACCTCAAGGTCTGTTCTGACATCTTGATTTGTGGTGACACTCAGGTTAGCTGTTGTGAGGCAGCTGTCTTTTTCTCTCTGCACAAGAAGCCCCATGTTGTTTGCTATCTGGACATAGGGGCCTGATGCACTGACCTCAAGAAGAGATGAAGTGTAATGAATACCATCTGTCACAAACAGCACAAAGCAGGCAGAGTCTGCACCACGATGTTGGAAGAGTACCTGTCATTGTTGCAGGTCTTCTTGTCTGAACTGGTAGAGTTGCTCAAAGGGGTTGCTAGCTCGCACCAAATCCCCATTTGGGATGCCTCGCTGGGTGTACAGTAACTGCCCATCATCAAAATCTAAGTCAGGGTCATGGTAGCAGAGATCTGCCAGGGTCAATAAGCGCTGGCCATTTCGTACAACATGAAATACCTTATCTATCACACGCACTGGCCGTTCATCATTTTTTAACTCAACAGAAATGTTGACTTTGATCTCTGTAGATAAGTGCTCCAAGTCAAAATCTTTGACAACTTCCTCTTGGCCTGGAGATACCACAACCAGGAACTCATCACTCTGGGTCTCAGAGTCATCATGAATATACATTAGCTGCTCACTCATGATGTCCTGATCAGTGAATGCAGTGATACTGTCATTACTTTTCAGGGTATCTGAAAAGTTCATCAATTTCAGCCTTCCATGCTGAGGACTCTCCGTGACTCTATATTGGAAGATCTGATTGTCCCACGTTTGAACAAATAATTCTGATTTTGTAATTAATTTCCCTTCTCCTTCTTTTACAAGTAATCCTCTGTTTGTTAAAATAATGCACATCTCATCTGCTTTCAAGAGTACTCTGAAAATATAATCTTTTGATTCTATGTGTTTTACAACAATCAAAAATTTAAAAGTATCCTGTGAGTCTTCCTTTGGCCTCTGCAGAGGTTTGTAACTTACCTGAGAGTCTGTAATATTTTTTTGGCTGAAGGTTGAGTTTGTTTTTAGAATTTTATTGTCCAGTAGCAACTTGCCTTTCTTAGGTGGAGTCAGTAATTTAAAATGTATTTCCCCCTCTGCTACTCCCACACCCTCTGTTGCAGCCTGTAAATGATCAGAATTCAGTACCTCCTTGTTTATGGTACTGATCTCTAGAGGAACATTTGTCACAAGTGTAAATTTCAGCCATTGTACAATCACAGGAAATGTGAGCTCTTTGCTAAGTTTTCCTTCCATGTTAACTCTAAATTTAAAGTGATCCATAACATTTTCCTGCTGAAGTTCTTTGAATGTACTGTAGTATCGGACTCGACTCTTATTGATGGATCGCTGAGAAAAGCTACTCACTTGTTTCCATTCCCCACTTGACCCCCAACGCTGAATCTGGCCATACTGAGGTGGGTGAGTGGTATCATAGCGAGCCTCCATCTCATGATGCTTACCATTAACCTCCACTGACAAGTTACTCCGTGTAATCAGAACAGTGCCACACCAGTTCTACTGGCCACTTCAAAGTCCCAAGGAACAGCCATGACCCGTAACACCACTGTATTGCTAACCAGCTCGCCATCACTTGCTCTCAGGACAATTCAAGATGTTCGAAGCCTTTGGTGTACATACAAAATGTTGCCATCTCTTAAATCTGTGTGTGTGAAGCCATTAATGGCTCTCCCAGGTTCATTGGCATTTTCTAAAAACCCAGCATCTGAACTGAAGTTGCCAAGAATTGAAAAACTAAGACTCAAAGAATCTGTGTCAGGATCTGACACCTGTATTATATTTGGAGTCAGTCTTTCCTTAGAATTCTCGAACACATGATGCATGTTTCCTTCCAGGAGGTTAAGGTATGGGGGGTCATTCACTGGAATGACATAGATGTTAAACACATACGGATTGTGGTCCTGCAGATAGAATGGCATTTCCTTCTTGCTACTGGAAGAGAAGAAAAATGTGAAGTAATCCATAGTTTCTTCTGAACCATCATGGACATACCACACTTTTCCTTGCCACAAATCTAACATAGTAAAAGCCTTCGCCATTTCTTGCTCAGATGAAACATCTAATTGAAGGAACCCATGGATAGGCATTTCTTCTATTTCAAATAGTATTTGAGAATAACTGAAAAGCAAATCCTTAAATTCCATATTCACCCTCATATGCCTTTGTTCCAGTAAGGCTCTTCCACCTTCTTGAACCTCCAAGCTATTCAAAACCAAAAGAGAACTACTTTGATCTTGAAGAAAGGGCTTGACAGCACCAGGGCCTGTGGTGGAATAGAAAGCCTCTGACTGAGGCAGATTTGACAATGTTGTAACAGAAGGATGTGCATTATCAATACTCTTAGTTTTGCACCCAGCAGAAATATCTTTGGAAACAAAGGCATCCCTTAATGCTCTCTTTTGTGAGTTTGCTTCCAAGTCTCGTAAGCAGCCTCTCAAAGAAATTCCTCGAGCAGATTTCCTAGGCACAGAGGCAAGGTCTAACAGCTTCACTTCTTCCCACATTTTGTTGTCAAGACCTCCTACAAAGAGGGGACCTTCGGATACAAACGGCTTACTTTGCAAAGGTAGCAATGTACTTACTCCTTGCTCATCTACCACGAGGTCCAGATACCCTCCCCTGAACTGGAGTTGAATAGTGTGCCATTTGGTGTCACTAATTAACATAGAAGAAGAAAGCTCAGTTTTACTTTTATTCCTTCCTATGTGAGCCTTCAACAGACTTTCATGTATTTCCAAGGCAACAAAATCTCCGCCCTTACCTGGCTGAAGTAAAAGCAAGGCTTGCTGAGTTCCAGTTTGCAAAGCAAATTCCAATACTCCTCGCCCTTGCACCTTCCATTCTGGAAAGGTGACATAGGATCTGGAGCTAAAAAAATTGATGGCTTCATCCTCCCCTGCAAAAAACTCTTCATTGCATCCTAGTGATACTTCATAAACTTTCTTAAAACCAGGGTAAGATCTAAGGGACATAAGGATCTCCCTACCATTAAATACCACATCCTCCATACATCCTCGGAAGTTGGGGACCTTTCCATCTAGGTAAGGGACATTGAGTCCCCCATGGCCTCCTATGTAGATTCCATGCTGAAAGTTAAAATTGTGCATCCCACCAGCCGTTTGGCCAGCTGTCTCATAATATTTGTCAATAACCAAGAAAACATTATCTTTAATATAATGTAGGTCCACCAAATGCCAAACCAAGTCATCCACACGAAGTCTTTGCTCAGGGAAGAGCACTTGCTCACCTGTGCCCAAATTCACTCTCACCTGAAAAAGAAAGAATTATGATCAACTACTTACATCTTACTTCTCATGTTGCTGTGTTTTACTGAGAAAATGTGGCTGGGGTGGTTGGAATATGGCTTTTCCCCACCAAAACTCTTATTGGGTCTTTGTCCGCAACGCAGCAGTGTTGAGAGGAATCGGTCCTTTAGGAAGTGACTAGATCATGAAGAGGACTGATGTTTTCTTAAGAGAATGAGGTCTCGCTTTTGTAGAACTAGATTAGTTAATGCAATAACGGGTTGTCAGAACAGGCTACAAGCTGTCAGAGGAGGATGTTATAAAGCAAGTTTATCCTCCTCAGCGTTCTCTCTCTCTCCCTCTCTCTCTCTCTCTCTCTCTCTCTCTCTCTCACTGAGTGCTTCCTTTCACCCTATGGACCCTTACTTCAAGTGAGGCAGATACCAGCACCATGTGCTTGAATCTGAAGAACTATGAGTCAAAACCATAGGCATTTTTGGTTCAAAACATAAGAAATGGACAACTGGGGTCCCCAATACAAGCAGGCACACCCCACACGTGTGCACATACACATACATAGAGAATTAAAGAGAGAAATGGCCATGAAAATGCTTACTGCACTTATAGATTATATAGTGAAGAAGAAGATTTTAGGGTCAGATTGTTTAAGATATGCTGGCATAACTGGACAAGATCCCATCCTATATAAATGGCACGTCACTTTATTCTAGTGACCACTAATCGACATGAATAGTTACTTCCCCCTCTTTCACTTTTTTCTCTTCAGTAACTGAATACATAGGCATTTTCAAAGGTTTTTAAAAATCATACCCATAAGTTTCCTGATAGAAGTTCTATTATGCAATAGTCATTTTTCCCAGCTGCAAGAAAAAGTAACCCCTGCGGCTTGCTGGTTTGAAATTTTAATTGAAGAGATAGCTCAGAGGAAACTTCTATGTTGTTGAGCTCCACATAGCTTTCACCATAAAAAGATACTAAAGGGGGAGAAAAGCACAAGTTAGTAAATGTATTACATAATGGCTATTTCGCTTTATATTCGCATCTCCTTCCAGGGACTGACCCTCATGAGGAAACCTGCCTTGCCCAAGGGTACACATGCTTCCAGGGGACCCAGAGTTCCCACATGGGTATACATAGGTTAATATTCTCTGAACTAACTCAGGACATCCCTGAAGGGTCATTCCTTCTTCTGAACCCTCACAAAAGATGGTGATCAAGGTTTCCTCTGAGACTAAACTGCAACTCAATTTCTCTCCTAAAGCCCCATTCTTCTTTCCAACAAGATTTTAAAACTCTCTTCTAAACCTCCTACATGCTAATTTCCCTCTCAGGCTCTACTACCCCAGGAATCTAACTTGTAATAATTGATACTGGGAATAGCCTGAAAAAGCAGTCAACAGAATAAAATGTGGAGCTAAACCCCTCACCACCAAGATGGCAATAGGATCCCATCACGGATGACAGGTGAATCAGTGATAGTGGACTGCTGTAGTGTGAGAGTGCCAGAGGAACACACTGATGTAAAGCATAGGGCAAAAGGAACTAGGAGAAAATGCAATTTGTTGTCCGCTGACAAGACTGAATGAAGCTCTGGGAAAAGACAAGGGAAAGCTTAAAGAAATTAGCTAGCAATTACAAGCTAAGTGGGAAAACCAGAAGGTCTCCAGGGCAAAATGCAAAGTCATTTTATCTCCTACAGCAGGAAGGGAGAGAAAGCTGAGACTCAGATCTAGGAATTAGTCATCAGAATAGCCAATCTTTAAATAAACTAAGACAGCCAACTAAGACAGGCTTGCTCTCATAAGGCCAGGGTCCTCCTTGGGATGGTTGAGACCTTATCATATAGACTGGGAATATCTAGGTTGTTGGCATTCATTCATCCTTAGTCTCTAGACCTCTTGAACCCTCTAATCTTACAGAAGTGTCTCATTCCCCCATTAGGACTGCCACTCTGCAGGTGCTTAAAGAGGATGCAGAAGCCTCCTTCCACAAGACAACACCTGACTTCTAAACATATGATCTATTTCTCCTCCTGGCTTCTATACCAAAAATAAAGGTTAACATGTGAGGACATGTTGGGTTTGATATGGAGGAAATGAGCTTGATCCTAAAGGAGTTTCAACACCTACCCAGAATGTAAGCTACTAGCTGGTAGAATACATATGGGGCTGAAGGAACTCCCTGACCACCAAGCTTAAAGTTGAACAAGAGAGAATTTTTAGGTTTTGGAGCATCCTCTGAGATATAGGACATAATACCTTAGCAAGGACTCCTGGCATAAGTCTAAACTCATGCTAAGGTGGCTTCTAGAAGCACAAAAAAACGCAATGGCCCATTATAAGTGAGACAGCAATGGCAGAATGGCCACAGAAGATGGTAGTAGAAGAGATTAAAGAGATGAAAGTGGTACATCCTAGGTTGAGCAGGTATAGACCAGAAGGCATAAGCAAGCCACAAGAGATGGGAGCTCCAAACCCTTGTCATTCACCATGGCTGTACCAGTACCTTTCTCTCAGCTTATATATGTGTCTGCATAAAGGTTCCTTATTGCCAGCTGATGAAGAACAAAACACCTGAGTTTGGTTCATGGATGAGTCAGCTTCATCTTATGGATAAAAGCAAAAAAATCTATTCCAACTGCACTTTAACTCTTCCCAGGAGTTGCTATCTTTTGCCCTTCCTATGACCAGAGGCCATCTCTTTTGTATCTTCATCTCTCTAGTACATCCCAGTGCCTGGCACACAAGTGATGCAGTTTATTCTGTTGGTGCCCCACCTAGAACCCTATTAACAGCTATACTTGAGCTGGTGAAATGCCATATGCAGAAACCCCAATGAAATCACACCTTTACCTGGAAGGAAACTTGTAGCCAGTCAACTTATTAAAATAAATAAAACTCAAAATTGTCACTCATGCTCCAGAGCCCACCATGGGATCAACCTGAGATGACATCAGCTAAAGACACATGTTTGCTTGGCTTCTCCTGCTTTATCCAGCTTCCCTCACTTTCTTAAATTCTCTCCTGGGAGAAATCACTCAATCATTCACTTATACTAAAATCCCTGTCTCAGGCTCTCTCTCTCTCTCTCTCTCTCTCTCTCTCTCTCTCTCTCTCTCTCTAAAGAACCTGACCTAAAATAAGTAGAGAGCAAGAAAACATTTATTGCATGAAATTAAACTGACCTATTCCCTGCAATTAATATAATCATTATAGGTACATCAGTGGCTTCTTCCTGGAGGAGAACGGAAGTCCGATTGGGCTGCGGTGGCGAAAGCTGCTACAGTGTAAACCTAGAGCTCAGGTTCTTGATCCTCCACAATGGGTGAACAACAGCAAGTGAGCGCACTCCCACCACCTCCAGTAGAGTACACCAAGGAATATACAGAAGAAAAAATTCAGGAAGGCTTAGCCTCCAAGCCTCTCCTTCCAATTAAAGACAGTTATATGATGTTTGGCAACTAGTTCCAAAGTGATGATCTTATCCGCCCTTTGAAAAGTCAGGGAATTGAATGGGTTCCACCTATGCAGTTTGATCATAAGAAAGAACTGAGAAAACTCATTTTGTCAATCCTTATCAATTTTTTGGATCTTTTAGACATCTTGATAAGGAGCCCTGGAAGTATAAAACAAGAAAAGAAATTAAAAACTCTTAAGCTGCCTTTTGTACATCATCTTATAAATGAATACCGACCCCACCAAGCAAGAGACCTTGAGAGTCATGATGAAGGTCCAGAAAGGTCAATTGCTCAAAACAGCTCAGAGGTTTCAGAAACACCTAGAAGAAGTAATTGAGATGATTCAGAATTGCTTGGCTTCTTTGCCTTATGATTTGCCCCATTCAAAGCAGGACTGAAAGTAAAAACCAAACCAATGGATGCTAATGACAGCAACAGTTGTACTAGATAGAATGAACAACAAAGAGAAAATTCAGGCCATAGAAGGGACCAGATTATAGAGAAAGATGCTGCCTTATGTGTCCTTGTTGGTGAAATGAATGAAGACAGTGAAATTTTTCCTATTCTTTTTTCCTTTTGGTAAACAGAGTTGCAAATTACTATATTTTCTTTTGGACAGTGTTAAGAGAGGCTCTGTGTAACTAAAAACAGAAAAGGATTTTTTTCTTGACTCCAGCTTTTCAATTACGAGATGCAATAGGCAAGAATTTCACTGTATAATAAACATAGGCAAGTGACTATACCTACTTTAAGAGTAATTACCTCAAAAAGCCAAATGTTGTCTTTTGAGTGGGAGATTCCCAGTTTTGAAGTTGTGGATAAAACTTTGAAGATATCCTCAGTAATAGTAAGCTTTCATGGTTGAAAAAAATAAATTGTCATTAGCTTTAAGAATGATAAATAAATGCAGCCGGGCATGGTGGTGCATGCTTGTAATCCCAGCACTTAGGAGGCTGAGGCAGGAGGATCGCTGTGAGTTCAAGACCAGCCTGGGCTACATAGTGAGTTCCAGGTCAGTCTCAACTACATAGTGAGACCCTGTCTCAAAAACAACAACAACAACAACAACAAAACCAAGAATGATAAATAAAGGACATCGAGCTGTATATGCGGAATTATGAAACCTTCAGACTTATTTCATTAAATTTTTTGCTTTATCTCAAAAAAGTAATATAAAATGCTAAAAGAAGAACCCAGTAGAATTTTAAAAGCTTTATTTTCTTCATGACTTGCTATAAATCACCCTCGGCCTCTTCTCACTGCCCTACATAAAATGATGGGTGGCAGTCCCAAAAGTTGTTCTTTTTGCCAGTCACTCAGTAATGAATTAATTGGTCACTTTAAAAAGTTCCATGGATCCATTTTAGTAATTAGGATGACTACGTAGTTAACTATACATTTCCTTTTACCTTAGCTCAGGTTTGCCTAGGGCTAGAAGCCTGTGATGAAAAAAAAAAAGGTTTGTTAGCAGGTACTGCTAGGTGGCTTCCAAAGATCCTTGCTTCCTTTTGAGGGAATGTTGAGAAGCGGCTGTGCAGACAGGGATCGCATTCCTACATGTGGCTTTGTATCTATGTGAGGTCTTAGGACTTTGAAGTCCTGGAAAATGAAATAATATGGGTGTCGGAATCCAAGTCTGCCTCATTAAAATTTCTTGCACATCCTCCATGTCCTTCTGCAATCTCCTGTTTAGATGGGCACATTCAGGACACCTTTCAAACCACTTGGAGATGGCCAAGATCCAATCATTCTGGTTCCTTGAAAGAGGACTAGGTCTACCTTCCATTAATTGTACATCTCCTCTTCCAATGAATGTAACTTTATGTGAGCAAAAAAACAAAAAACAAAAAAATTTGTTTTCAGTAAAAAAATAATAATAATCATTATATACTGCAAACATGTACCGATAAAATTTTTTTTTAAATAAGCAACATTTTATTGACTAATAACAAGTTTTCTGAGAAAGCAATCATGAAAGTAATCCCATTCAAAATAGCTATAAATAAAATAAAATACTTAGGAACAAATTTAACGAAAGAAGTGAAAGATCTCTACATTAAAAATGATAAAGTCAGCCAGACATGGTGGTGCATGCCTGTAATCCCAGCACTCAGGAGGCTGAGGCAGGAGGATCACTGTGAGTTGAAAACCAGCCTGGGCTACATACTGAGTTCCAGGTCAGTCTCAACTACATAGTGAGACCCTGTCTCAAAAAAACAAAATAAAAAAGATAAAATCACAAAATAAAAAAGATAAAATCACAAAATAAAATTTAAAAACAGCAAAAAATGTTCCTCCCATGTTCCTAAATTGGAATAATAGAGATTGTTAAAATGACAAATTTTAACAAAAGCCATTTACAGATTCAATGTAATACCCATCAAAATACTAATCATATTAAGTTGAAAAAATTCAAAAAACTCACAATGAACCACAAAAAAACATAAATTTTGAAACCAGGCAATTTTGAACAAAAAGAATAAAGCTGGAATCATCATAATGCCTGATTTTAAGGCATACTACAGAACCATAGTAACCAAAAGAGCCCAAAACTGGCGTAAAAATAGACATACAGATCAATGGAATAGTTAGAGATTCCAAAATAAACCCACATATCTACATCAAATTGATTATTGACAAAGCCACCAAAAATAAAGACTCAGAGAAAGGAAGGTTTCTTGGATAGTGGTGCTAGGAAAACTGGATATCTCTATTCAGAAAACTGAAACTTGACCCGTCTCTTACCCTGTGCAAGTATAACCACAAAAGGAGCACTCCGGAGGGAGCCTGAGGCAGGAGGATCACTGTGAGCTTGAGACTAGCCTGGGCTACATAGTGAGAGTTCCAGGTCAGTCTCAAGTACAAAGTGAGACCCTATCTCAAAAAAAAAAAACAAAAAAGAATAACCACAAAATGAACCAAACACCTGAATATAAGACGAACAGAAGACTTGAAACTCTAAAACAAGAAGAAAATATAGGCAAGATACTTTCAGACAGTGATATGAGCAATAACATTTTAAATATGACCCAAAAACCCAGGAAACTAAAGCAAAAATGAGACTAATGCGATTATGTCAAATCTAAAAGCTTCTGCACAGCAAAGAAAACAAAAATGAAGTGAGAGCCTATAGAACAGGAGAAAACACTTGCTGACTATTCATGCAGCAAAGGATTAAAAGCCAAACTATGTAAAGAACTCAGAAAATTTAACAACAAAGAAATAATTGAATAAAAAATAGGCATATGATCTGAATAGACATTTTTTTAAAGAAAAAATACAAATGGCCAGCAATATGAAAAAATGCTCAGTATCATTAGCCATCTGGGAAATGCAAATCAAAACTATAATGTGCTATACCGCTCCAGTATAAATGGCTATATCAAAAAATAACAAATACTGCCAAAGATGTGGAGAAAAGGGAACTCTCATACACTGATAGAAAGGATGTAAATTAGTATAGCTGTTATGGGGAACATTATGAAGTTTTCTCAAAAAATTAAAAATAGATCTATCATTTGTTCAGGCCATCCCACCTCTAGGTATATAGTCAAAGAAAACAAAATTGGCACACAAGGAGATAATTGCACTCCCATTTTTACTGCATTACTATTCATCATAGTTATGACATAGAATCACTCTAGGTGCATACCAACAGGTTTATGGGTAAAGAAAAGATGATATTTGTATGATTATTATTCAGCCATAAAGAGAAAAGGGAACTCTCATACACTGATAGAAAGGATGTAAATTAGTATAGCTGTTATGGGGAACATTATGAAGTTTTCTCAAAAAATTAAAAATAGATCTATCATTTGTTCA